TGCATTTGACAGAAGGCTGGTTAGGAACGTGTTCCTTGAAATAAGGGTAACAAATGAAACAAGCCCTGCAGTATTCTAGCTCATACCCCACAGCACGAGACTCAGTATATTCCAGCTCATACCCGCTCATACCCCACAGCACGACTCAGTATATTCCAGCTCATACCCCAGCAGCACGAGACGCAGTGCATATTCCAGCTCATACTCCCACAGCACGAGACTCATAGCTCCCAGCCCATACCCCACAGCACGAGACTCAGTATATTCCAGCTCATACCCCACAGCACGAGACTGCACTTTTTTTCTATAAAGGGCTGTATAGTAGCCATTTTAGGTTTTGTGGGCCAGATGCTGTTAATGTCACAACTACTCTGCTATGCTCTGTGCCTGCTTTCATCCGAAGTATGTAGGTGAATGGATGTGGATGTATTCCAGTAAAACTTTACTGACACAAATAGCCTTAGTTTGTCTGGTGAGGCAGTTTCCATGTTTCAGGGCAGGAAGAAAGAAGTCAGACAGAACCCACTGGCTTCACTAAAGTGATGAAACAGCAGAAATTGGGGAGGACAAGACAGTGAGAATTTGTGGAGGAAAACACAGGAGAGGAGGGAGCAGGTTAGAGAGAGAGCTCCAGAGATCTGCAGAAGCACTGCCTTGAGGTGTTGGCTGCGTCCTGGTCTGCACGTGCCTTTGAGGAAGCACCTCAAGGCTGGGAGCAGAACCGCCAAAAAGGAGAAGGCCAAGCACTTCTTGGACATCAGTTGCACAGGACTGGGAATAGTATGTGTTCCCACCACCTAGGTGGTAGGGTATAAGATAGATCCTTTGAAGGGTTGTCTTTTCATCTTTGTTAGAGTGGATTCAGAGCAGCTTTTTCATCTGTGGAGTCAGGATGATTCCTCAGAAGGGCTGCCTTAGCAGTAGGGCTGAATTATCCATAGACCAATAGGCTGCTCCTGACTTGCCCTGACTGATTACAGATAACTTGATTGCATTCTCAGAACAAAGCCCCGACTATATTTAAAAAGGATGTAATAAAAGTAGCACCCAAAAATATAAAAAGAAATTGTGTCTAGCATCTAATAAATAATCACGAGGTATACAGAGAAGCAAGGAAATGTGATATTAACCAGGAAGAAAATCAAGAGAAACCCCAAAATGACAAGGGATGACAGACATTAAAATAACTTATAAATATGTTGCACACTCAAGAATGTAGAGAAAAACATAAGCATAATGAGTGAAATGAAAGATTCAGAAAAGACTGAAATAAAACTTCCAGAGATGAAAATACAATATATAAAATATATAAAATGCCGGACACAGTAACTGATGCCTATAATCCTAACTCTTTGGGAGGCTGAGGTGGGCAGATCATTTGAGGTCTGGAGTTGAAGAGTAGCCTGGCCGACATAGCGAAACCTTATCTCTACTGAAAATACAAAAAATAGCTGGGCGTGATAGGGGGCACCTGTAATCCCAGTTACTCAGGAGACTGAGGCAGGAGGATCACTTGAACCCAGGAGGTGGAGGTTGCAGTGAGCCAAGATCACACCACTGCACTCCAGCCTGGCAACAGAGCAAGACTCTATCTCAAAATAAATAAATAAAATATATATATTTTATTTATGTAATAAAATATATAATAAAATAAATTTATATAGAGTAAAATGATACATATACACACATATATAATGCAGTGGAGGGATCACAACAGGTTATTACTACAGAAGAACAGAGTTTGAGAGCCTGAAGACGTAGCAGTAGAAGCTTTCCAAAGCACAGCACAGAGCATCGAGACTACACGAGATCACAGAGCATCAGCAGCCTGTGGGACAAAGTCAGCTGATTTAAGATATGTATAACTTAGTTCCAGAAGGAGAAGAGGAGGGAATGGAAAAAATATTTGGAGAAATAATGGCTGGAAATCTTCCAAATTTGATGAAAACTGCAAACTATGAAGCTCAAAAACTCCAAACAGAGCAAATATAAGGAAATCCAAGGTACCTCATAATCAGATTGCCAAAAAACCAGTGATCAAGATCAAAAGCTTTCAAAGCAGCCAGAAGAAAAGGCACATTACAGAGGAATAAAGTTACTAATAACGGTGATTCCTGGTCACATCTTGTGTGAACTAGAAGACAACAGAGCGACATTTTCAAAGTACTGAAAGAAAAAAACCTGTTAGCTTAGAGTTCTGTATCCAGCAAAAATGTCTTTCAAAAATGAAGGATAAATTTTTATTTATTTCAAAAGTAAAGAAATTTCTAGGCCAGGCATGGTGGCTCACCCCTGTAATCCCAGCACTTTGGGAGGCTGAGGCGGGCAAATCACTTGAGGTTGGGAGTTTGAGACCAGCTTGGCCAACATGGTGAAACCTTGTCTCTACTAAAAATACAAAAATTAGCTGGGTGTGGTGGCAGGTGCCTGTAGTCCCAGCTACTTCGGAGGGCGAGGCAGGAGAATCACTTGAACCCGGGAGGCAGAGGTTGCAGTGAGCCGAGATCATGCCACTGCACTCCAGCCTGGGCGACAGAGCGAGACTCCATCTCAAAAAAAACCCCAAAAACAAAAATACATTTTTAGGCCAATAGACATGAGAATTTATCGCCAGCAGAATGGCACTAAAGGAATATTAAAGGAAATTCAGATAGAAAGAAAATAATATTTGATGGGAAAATTTTTATTTATATATATTTTGGAGACAGGGTCTCACTCTAGTGCCCAGGCTGGAGTGCAGTGGGTGTGATCTCGGCTCGCTGTAACCTCTGTCTCCCAGGCTCAAGCAGTCCTCCTGCCTCAGCCTCCTGAGTAGCTGGGACTACAAGCATGTGCCACCATGCCCGGCTGATTTTTGTATTTTTTGTAGAAACGGAGTCTGTGTTCCCCAGGCTGGTCTCGAACTCCTAATTTCAAGCAATCCACCCACCTCAGCCTCCCAAAGTGCTGGGATTACAGGCATGCCGCTGCACTCAGGCTTAAATAGTCAGTTTCCATCATGGGCCAGGCATGGTGTCTCCCACCTGTAATCCCAGCACTTTGGGTAAGAGGAGAGGGCAGGTCGCTTGAGCTCGGGAATTTGAGACTACAGTGAGCTATGATCACACCGCTGTACTCCAGCCTGGGTGACGGAGTGAGACTTTGTGTTCTAAAAGGAAAAAAAAAATGGTAAAATTGACAAAGCTCCAGTGAAACTGAGCCCGGCTAATTTTTTTGTGTTTTTAGTAGAGATGGTTTCACCATGTTAGCCAGGATGGTCTCGATCCCCTGACCTCGTGATCCACTCACCTTGGCTTCCCAAAGTGCTGGGATTACAGGTGTGAGCCACCGCGCCCGGCCACAAAATGTTTTGAATTTGCTGGGTGTGGTGGCACATGCTTGTAATCCCAGCTACTTGGGAGGCTGAGGTGGGAGGATCTCATGAGCCCAGGAGTTTGAAGGCTGTAGTGAGCCATGATCGTGCACTCTAGCCTGCACTTTGAGACCCTGTCTCAAAAAAAAAAAAGATCTTAGAATACTATTATACCACTGTTCAGTTAGCAGGAATGAAAAAGTCTGGTAATTGTTGAAAAAGTTAAGCAACAGAAACTCTCTTATACCCTTCTGATGGGAGTGCACATTACAGTTGCTTTGGGAAATAGTTTGGCTTTAGTGTATAAGCTAGCAATCATACTTCTAGATATGTACACCAGAGAAATACATGCCTAAAGTGCTTGAGATAGCTGTACCAGAAAAATCTTAGTAGTGTTTGTATTTGCTCCAAAGCAGAGACCACCCTAGGGGATGAGAATGGATAACTAAATTATGGCATATTTACTGAGTAGAATATTACACAGCAATGAAAATAAACTACAGACACAGCAACAACAAAAAAGGCAAAGAAAAAAGCAAGACAAGAATATATGTAGTATGATTTTGTTATTTTCATCTGCTTCTGGTAGTTATATAAATTATGTTTGGTAGGGCTGCACACCTAGATGATAAATCTCTAAAGAAAAGTTAGGAAATGATAAATCATAAAAGGCACAGTAGCTCATGCCTGTAATTCCAGCACTTTGGGAGGCTGAGGTGGGAGAATCACTTGTGCCCAGGAATTCCAGACCAGTCTAGGCAACATAGGGAGATCCAGCCTCTAAAAAAAAAAAAAAAAATTATCCGGGCATGATGGCATCCTCCTGTGGTCCCAGCTACTTGGGAGGCTAAGATGGGAGAATCGCCTGAGTCCGGGAGGTCAAGGCTGCTGTGAGTTGTGATTGCACAACTGCACTCCAGCCTAGGTGACAGAGCGAGATCCTGCCTCAACAAATCAGTCATTTTGTTAAGTTAGTACTTACTTATGTATGTAGTGGAAGGGGTTTGGGCTCAGATAGAGGCACCCAGCCTTTCTGGAGTTCTAGCAATGCTCCATCCCTTGGTGGTAGTTGGACTGGTATTTATGTAATAGCTTCATGAAACGGTATACATGTGTTTCCTATACTTTTCTATAAGTAAGTAATACCTCATGGTAAAAGCAATTTTAAAATAATCAGATTTTATTTTGTGGAAAATCCCCAAAGCACATGCATGTACAGTAGTTAATCATGTTTTATCTTAAATTTCTTCATATTATAGAAATTTACCTTTTGAAATTTTATTTTTATTTATTTGAGACGGAGTCTCGCTCTGTCGCCCAGGTTGGGGTGCAGTGGCATGCATGATCTTGGCTCACTGCAGCCTCCGCCTCCCAGGATCAGACTATTCTCCTGCCTCAGCCTCCCGAGTAGCTGGGATTACAGGTGTGTGCCACCACGCCTGGCTAATTTTTGTGTTTTTGGTAGAGATGGGGTTTTACTATATTGGCCGGTCTGGTCTCAAACTCCTGACCTCAGGCGATCTACCCTCCTCCACCTCCCAAAGTGCTGGGATTACAACATGAGCCACTGCGCCTTGCCTTGAAATTAAATTTTTAAAAGTTGTAAATTTTTCCAGATGAGAATTGACCAACTATTATTATTTTCTAGGTAAGGGACTCCGCTACAGTAATTAAAGAAGGATAAGGTTGGCGTTGCTTTGCTCCTTTTTTTATTGAAGTCCTTCCTTCCTGATCAAGCTTCCATATATCTCCTTAAAGCATATGACACACAGGTATGCCACTAAAAAAGTTTTAATTTGTGTAGATTTCTTTCTTCAGCTGTTACTTTTTCATCTTGCATAAAAATCAAGTAATTAAATTGTAAAACATCCTGAACATATTCATTTTTGGCTTTAGCAGTTTCATTCTTCAGCAGATGTATTTGACTTTCTACATACGTGGCACTTTGTTTTGGTTTGTGTCTGACCTTATTTTTCTTTTTTTTTCAAACCAGTATTAAACTGAAAATAATAGACATTGTACCTCATGGTCCAGGAATGAGTGAATAAGTTAGAAAACCAAGAATGGTGGCCTGCACTTCTTTATCCAAGGCCTACTTTCTGAAATCTCTCAGCCCTACCCTTCCCTAGAAGGTGCCCCACTGCAAGGAAGGCACAGGCAGCCTCAGAATGTGACCTGCCTCATGGAGTATTGCATTTTTTGATACAAGAACTATTTGCTCCTTAACCATCTTTCTCTAGGAGTTTGAAAGAAAATAAAATACTCTGTGTTTCAGTCTCTAACTTGTGATTGAGTGGCTGAGGTGGGAGAATCTCTTGAGCCCAAGAGTTTGATACCAGTCTGGGCAACACAGTGAGACCCTGTCTAAAAAAATAAAATAACTAACTGGGTGTGGTGGTGTGTGCCTGTAGTCCCAGCTACATGGGAGGCTGAGGCAGGTGGATCACTTGAGCCTAGGAGTTCCAGGCTGCAATGAGCTGGGATCATGCCACTGCCATCCAGGCTGGCCATAGACCAAGACCCTGTCCTTTTAAATAATAATAATAATAAATCTTTCATATGTTAGAATGTTAAAAATAAGTATAAGAAGTTGGAAAGTTTGCATCCAAAGTGAGATTTAATACATAACTATTTTTGATAAGTTGAAAAGTGTCAAGAAAATTGTTGTTTAAATTTCATTTATAATCATGATGTCATCATAGTACCATTCAATTTTCTCCAATAGTCTGTGGTATTTTTAGTTTGTTTAAAGCAGGGTCCAAATAATTGCAATTAGCTGATATGTCTGTTAAGTCTCTTAATCAATGGAGTACTTTTCCCCATCCCTTTTTTCCTTGCATTTTATTTGTTGGAAAATCCAGGCTGATTGTTCAGTCGTCAGAAGTTCCCCCATTCTAGCCTTTGCTATTTCCGCTGGACATGTTCTTCTGCTTCTGGGTGGATATAGAGGCTTGATCACTTTCTGGCTCAGCCTTTCAGCACAGGTACTTCAGAGTTGCGTGGTGCCCTCACCAGGAGGCACACATCTGCACAGATGTGAGATCCAGTGTTGTTGATTCTTTTTGTCTTTTTGTCTTTTTTATTTAAAAGACACGGGGTCTTGCTATGTTGCCCAGGCTGGTTTTGAACTCCTGGCCTCAAGCAATCCTCCCACCTCCGCCTCCCAGAGTATGCTGAAAGCTTGAGCCACAGCGCCTGGCAGATCCAGTGTTTTTTGAAATCTCATGTTTTATTCTAATGATTGAAACATAATCTGCTTCTCAGTATGGCCATGTTTTATGCTTTTCACTTCTTCAAATACAGTTGACACTCCAGGAAGATGAACCTTATCACACTTGCAACTTCTACCCCTTATACAGCCCCAGGGCTCCAGCCCCGTGTGGCAGGTGTGGCCTAGGGGAAGCCTCCATCTGGAGAAGTGCTGCCTGCACTTGGTCGCATGTCGAGTGGACTGAGCCCTTGGCTCCTCTCCCTGCTTCCTGTCCAGATGGCAGGACTCTGGTCCTGGGCCAAAAGAGGCACAGTGTCTTTGCATATAGTAAGGGTTGAATGAATACCTTTTAAAACTCCTAACTCTTCTGAACCAAGGGATACTGACAGTGCTGGGCCCCAAATGACTATTGTTTTCTCGAAGGCTTTAAGACCATGTCTTATACTGTGGTTTAATCAGGTTCTTTCCTAGGAGTCTGCCTGAGTCACTTGGTCTGTGTCTCTCTCCCTCCCTGTCCTAAGGGGGCTTTTCATGTGTGACTGTGATCTGCCTGTCTGTCTGGTGAGGATCCAGCCTCCTGTTACTTGCCAGGGTGCTGACTGTGGGCCCTCTCCCGCGGTGGAACATTTGGTATCAGGTATCAGGAACAGAGTCAGTATGCTGAAATGTTTGCATGAATGTGGATTTTCAGAAAGCTTTCTTATCAGCAGGGCACACCTGTCTGTTCATGATCTTTGCCCTTCTCCCTTTATTGGCATCACTTGGACGATATCTTTAATTGCCCTGCTGGACTTGATGTTGAACTGCTTTTCTCCATGTGTGTCATGTTTAGTGCTTTCTTGTGGCAAGAGCCTTTTGCTTTGTGTATCTGATGCTTCCCTTTTGTGGTTTTCCCCGGGCTTTCCAGCTCTTGGAGCACCCTTTTGTCAGCAGATGTACTTTTGTTTCCAGTTTTTAAATTCTAATTACAGTGTAGCTCAACTAAAATCATGGAACTAGGGAACATAAAACAAATCATTAGAGGAATGGAGGCCTAGAAGAAAGTGAAAGGAATCCAGTCCACCTCTTTGCTGTACTAGGTATCGATATGCCTCAGCTGTGAGTGAGGGCCTTCCTGAGTAGCTGACTAGAAACTAAACTTTTATGAAAGAATTTTCTTAAATAATTAGAGATGCCTTTCATTTAGTTAATAACAAGACCTCAAAATACAGTATATTTTTGTCTAAAACTGTACCAAACAGTAAGTAAAGTAATAGAGTAAAAATTCTGCTTAAAGAAGACTGCGGAATAAAAGTTTCAGGCCAAGTGCAGTGGCTCACACCTGCAATCCCAGCACTTTGGGAGGCCGAGATGGGCGAATCACTTGAGGTCAGGAGTTCAATACCAGCCTGGCCAACATGGTGAAACCCCCGTCTTTACTAGAAACACAAATAGCTGGGTGTGGTGGCACGCACCTGTAATCCCAGCTACTCAGGAGACTGAGGCAGGAGAATCGCTTTAACCTGGGAAGCGTAGGTTGCATTGAACCAAGATGGCGTCACTGCACTCCAGCCTGGGCAATAAGAGTGAGACTCTGTCTAAAAAAAAAGAAAGTTACGGAGCTCAGAGTGCCAGATTCTGCGCTCCTGGTAGTTTCTGGTGTTGCCCTTCCTTAGCTCCTCAGAGTGCACTGGCATAGGTGCCATTTTTTAATCACACAATTCCCTTCATTGTAATTTTCTTAGCGCTGTCTTTGCTTAGTGGATCTGTTGTTGCCATTCAGCAGTACATTTCTCTCTGTGTGGAAGCAAACGTCTTCTCAAACCTGATGCTCGGTGAGGATAGGCAGTGGGCTGTTAAATAGGCAGTGGCCTCGGATTCCCAGCATGTGTATGACCACTGTGCTAACCAGAGGCGTGTGTGTCCAGCATCTGAGCATTGGAACCTGCAAGCTGCTCCCCCAAATCAGGATGCCAAACGTTCATTGGCAAGTTACTCAAAGTTGCCTCAAATATCATCTTTAATGCATTTAACTGAATTTACATAATTTTTCTTTATCAGCACATAATTATTATAAATATTGTAGAATTGCCATTAACTTATAATTGTCATATCTAAATTTTAGGATAAAAATAGAATTTAACCATTTTTATGCCCATATATAAGCAAGTGAAGTAAAGGTATTTATGTTTAAATCAAGAACTCTAATCAAAGGTTTTCGTAATCCTTCCAAATATGCAATCTCACTTATTTCTTGCCACTTCTGGTGATAGGCCTGTGTGTGGAACACACAGGGGATTCCTGCCTGTCCACAGCTCAGTGTGAACAGACCAGATATGGTCATAGATTAGAAATTACCATCACAGGCCTCACGGGTGGTTCATGTCCATAATCCTAGAACTTTAACAGGCTGAGGCAGGGGGATTGCTTGAGCCCAGGAATTCGAGACCAGCCTGGGCCACATTGGTGAGACCTACCTGGGTAACATGGCGAGACCTTGTCTCTACAAAAAATGGAGAAGTTAGCCGGGTGTGGTGGTGCATGCCTGTAGTCCCAGCTAGTTGGGAGGCTGAGGCAGGAGGATCACTTCAGCCTGGAAGTTCAAGGCTGCAGTGAGCCGTGTTCACACCACCACACTCCAGCCTGGGTGACAGCAAGAAAAGGAAGAAAATAAAAGAAATTACCTCAAAAGAAAAATAAAGAAAATAAATTACCCTTACAGACATTTTATTTTTATTTTTATTTTTTTAGAGACAAGGTCTCTCGGTTGCTCAGGCTAGACTCAACCTCCTGAGCTCAAGTGATCCTCCCGCCTCAGCCTTCTGAGCAGGCACTACAGGCACATGCCGCCATGCCCAGCAACCACCACAGATAATTTAGAAAAAATTAGCCTTTTAGTTTTAGGAGCTTTTTTTTACAGTGATATTTAGTTTGGGGCCTTTGAACTTGGATTTTGCTGTCGGAGCTGTACCTGTAGGTATTATTGTTCCGGCCTGCGAACGAGACGTGACCAACTCCAGTGCTGGCTGCTTTCTGTCCTCACCGTCAGCCAGTGTGGTCTGTGTGTGAGGCTGTAGTTGTGCTCTTGGCCGCTTATTTCTCTTCAATTCCCTGCATGTAATTTAAAACATTCTCCCCTGAAACTTTGTTTTTCATTGACTTCTAATATCTTTACTCCTCCTTACTTTTAATTTTCCTATTAAGATACTTATTTAATTTTCCTATTAAGATACTTAGGATTTTGTGAAATTCTTTGGATCTACATGTGGATAAACAGAATTGTGTCATATAAGGGTCAATATGCTAACTGTTTAAAAACATTTGAAAGCAATTTTTTTTTTTTTTATAGAGACAGAATCTTGCCCTGTCACCCAGGCTGGAGTGCAGTGGCGTGATCGTAGCTCACTGTAACCTTGAACTCCTGGGCTGAAGCAGTTCTCCGGCCTCAGCCTCTTGAGTAGCTAGGACTCACATGTGTCACCATGCCTGGCTAATTTTTATTTTATTTTATTTTATTTTATTTTTTATTTTTATTATTATTTTTTTTAGACAGAGTCTCACGCTGTCGCCCAGGCTAGAGTG